GCTTTCATTCCGGCCCGTCGAAATCCGCTGGTGTGTAGATATCGACGTGTCACGCGCCTTCCGCGACTGCTCTACACTTACACCGTGGAAAGCTGATAGCTCGAATCGCGTGCCCAGATATATCATATGAAAAGAAAAAGATAAGTAGAACCACGATAGATAAATGGAAACATGGACCGTCTTCTGTCGTTGTTGATCGTTTTCACGATATATAATTTAATCCCGCACTCTCTTTCCTTTTTCCCCTTCTTCTCTATCCTTTAGAAAATTCATTTAACGCCCGAGCACACACAGGCTCGTCACTCCCGCACGGTTCATGCGGTAAATCCCGATATTTTTTTTTTTCGCTAAGAGGACTGTGTATAATTTCACGAACTAATTTGAAATGTGAAAGAGCGTACGGCCGCGGGAAAGATTGCAAGCGCGCGCGGTTATAACGCGACACAGGAATGTATGTGTGCTCTAGGATTAACATATTCAGTTATACGCCGAGCGATTACACAGTCCACGTGGAATACCCTCGGCTTTTTTTATCAGATCTTCTCTCTCGGCGTTGCAAAATCCGCCGGTATACCAGCGGTATTTATCTTATCTGCACGTAACGTACACAAAGTACGTTATCTGCCGCATCCCCTCTTCGTTGCGCGAACTGGAAATGCGTGCGATATATGAGAGAGCGCGATATCGGTGACATCACGCGCTTAAAAGCCATTAGAGACGCGAGCTTCCATCGATTTTTCGTCTAATAAAATTCGGATTTTGTACTTCAGTGATATATTACGGAGGATAATTGAAAAAAAATATCAGTCATCAAAAAGTTAAATTTAATCCCGTTACACGTTTAAGATAAAAAGTACGAATGCCTGTACTGAAAAAAGAATTTGGTGTGAATATTAAAATTTGGTTGTGTGCCGGCGAAATATTTGATTACTGCAATCAAATAATCTAGATTCACATACTAAATTAAATTACTAAAGTAAATATATACAATATACAAGACTACAGTATTGTATATACACTATACGGAACTAAATTACTTGGTTGCAATAATCGGATATTTAATCGGCAAATATTCTTCAAATTTTAATATTTAACACTATATTCTTTTTTCAGTGTGAGCACGCACTTAATTGTAGACATTCTTGTTAATTTGGCTTTCAAATGCGAACGTTTAATCTTTAAACATAAAATATTTACATATATTCAATATATATACATATTCTATGTTGAAAGTTTGAATATTCGTATTTACCAGAGCAACAAGAATGTCCAGAGTTAAGTGCATGTCCAGGCATTAGTATTTTTACCTTGGTATAAAAAAGATAAATGAAAAGCTCTCGCGCGTGACAGCTTTTTCCGAAATTTCAAAAACCTGGATAAATAGCACCATCCTCTAATCAATAATATCAAATCAATCCGTCGAATCGAATCTTCGATTTCACGTCGACAGGCAGACGTTCCATGTTAACGCCGGAGTGTGAAGCGTATTAAATGCGAGAAGTGCGTGACACCTCGCGTCTAATGTACAGCATCAATTTATCCCGAGCGTCATTTTGCATTATGCAACGAAACAACGCCAAGTCCTGCGACCAAGTGTCGAATTCTATCCGGCAAAAAATCGCCCGACAGCGGAAAAACACGATAAACGCGATCACGATAAAGAGAACCGTCGGTCGGTGGCAGCTATTCTGTCCGTTCCTTGTCTTGTCAGCTCGGCACAAGCAAGATAAATGGCACGAGAACGTGAAACGCCGGCGAACACAGAGGTGGAGAGAAATAGAGAGAAAGAAAGAAAGGAAGAGAGAGAGAGAGAGAGAGGTGTGAAAAGTGCGCGCCTAGACAATTCACAAAAGCGTAGAAAATCGATAATCGATACCCCGCTTTTCTCATCACTGTCGCGTGCGCGCTCGCGCGCGCACGTGCCACGCCAAGGTCGCCGTCGGAAAAGTCCCTTTTCCCGCCGATTCGCGACCCGCAAAACGAAAAGCTGAAAGCGCCGCGATTTGAGCATTGACGGACTCGCATTCGTGGCGACGAGAGGGACAGAGAGAACCATTGTTTTTTTTTAACAGAGTTTCCATTTGAAGGGAAAAAGGAATGACAAACAAAAATTGCCAACGAAAAAGAGAAACACAAATCGGAGCGTCCCCGAGTCGAAATTTCAGTTCTGTATTAAATCTTCGGAGGTTTTCTACAGCGCTTCCTTTGATGCTACAAACGGGAAGTTATTTCCGTTTTCTCCACTTGAAGACTTAACGTAGGATTAAAAATTTCCCCAGGGAGGTTTAAATTCCTTTTACAGCATTGAAGGAGCATTATCAATGCTTCTTTGATGCTAATGGAAAGTTATTTCCATCGTAGTAGACTTAATGTAGAACTAAAATTTCGATTCGGGGTGGTTCAAGACAAAGCTGATGACTTCACGATAATTATGGAAATGGAGACACATTACAACGAGGGTGAGAAGGTTCGCCGTAGGTTGCCCGAACATCTGGGAATCCGTCATTGATCTCGAGTGCCATCGAAATACAATCAACGGCTCGAAAAGATTTCGCGGGTCGCGTCGCGTCGTCGGGATTCAATGGCTCGTTTGATTTTGCGCTTCGACCTCGCTATTTCCGAGAAATTCGGCGATACGTTTTCCTCGTCGCACTTGTCGTTCGGTGTGTTGCGGATCGAACGTCCGTTTTCAGATGTGTGCAAGTGATTACGTAAATTGTTTTGATGTAACGACGTGGTCGATATAAAACTTATCAAATCATCGTGACACAAAGAAATAGATAATTTAACGTCCAATAACTGTCACTCGATGATTTAGTGTAAGGAAAAAAAGATAGAGTTCACACTAATTCACGCTGATGTTGATTATCAAAGTCGCGCGTGTCGCGTTCCGTTATCGACACCGCTGCCCGACGAGGAAAACCGCTCGGTGTTCGTCCGGCGGATTGTTTATTCAATTTTACCGAACTATCGCGCGGAATTATACGCGATTACAGCTGCCGCTAATTATCGCTGCGCGAATCGTCTCATGCCACAAGTCAGCGATTACAGAGAGACGAAAGTTCTATCGTATCACGGCCGGCTGATCTATTCAGAACGAACGAAGCGGAAAATGTGCCGTGTATCGTTCCACGGCGATAAATATTATTCAACGAAATGAGCGCGATCTCAGAATTATTCCGAGTTGGAAGATTCTTAAGGTAAAAGTAGCTACGCCCAGCTAAAACTATTCAGTATTATTAATTTACTATTCCTTTTTTAATAGTTTATGGCAAGTAACTGGCCAAGAAATAACAGTCAGCATTTTTTGGACAGTTTCTGAACAGGTACTGTTAATTAATCCAAGCCAGTAAAAACTGTTTCTGTCTAGCGACTAGTTTTTCCCTAACGTTTTTCTACTCGGGAATACTTTTACCTCACTAGGTGACGAATTCCACCGATCTCGAGGAGCGCGAAGAGACGAGAGAAACCGGTGAGAAATTCGTCGCAGCAGCGGTGATTCATCGGGCGACGCAAAATTCTCGCGACGTGAGAACTCTATTTAAGAAGGAACCGATGACGATTACTTGTATTTGCAAATGTTATTATATAAGAACGATGGGACGATATGTTCCGTCGCTAATAGCTCCGCGACGGCAGCGATTTTGCGCGCGCGTAAAAAGGCAGACGTCATAAATTTCGAACGATCGCTAGAAATGAAGCTACCTTTCCCGCGCGACACGTCTCTGCGAAATTTATTCCCTCTGCAGCTCGTCCCGACGTTGCCCCGACGTTTATTACGAATCCGCCATTGAATCCCGGCCGATTCACTCTCGCGGGCTTACTCTTTCGTGAGAATCTCGTTCGACGGGAAAACGAAGTTCGCGGGACCAGAGCGACCTTGGCGGCGAGGAATCCCGCGGCAGCCCCTTTAGCTGCGATTTATTGTACCTCCTTCGAGGTGGTTCACGAAGCGAGAGTACGGCCGACCACTGGGCTCGTGAGGAAGAAAGGAGGGCCTTAGATCGCGATTGCAGTAGTCGGAATGATCGCAACAGGCGACCACCGGGATGTCATCTTGATCGCGTAGCGTATTGTTCGAGGTGCACCAAATGGAGTAGACGTCGTCCGGGAAGAAGTGCGTCTTATTGTAACACCTGGGAAAACAATTGACATGACGAGTACTGCCGCGGACTGCCGCGGCGTTCGCGTCGCCGAGGAAAGAGACGAGAAATAAGAGAAAAAAATGGGAAAAGAAATGAACGAAAAAGAAAGAAAATTAAAAAAAAAACCCCAAAAAGAGAGCGGAGACGTTCTCTCCATCTTTCGTGGTTGCCGCAAAACGCCGATATCTCGCGACGTACGCTCTCGTGCAGACGTATCGCGGAGATACGTAATTAGCGAGTCACCGAAGGCGAGATTTTAGCGGAGCGACGTCTGAGAGACAGACAGTGGCGGGAACGCTAATGGCAACCTTTTAAACTGGATAAGTGTGCTTACACGCGGAGTTTAATAAGCTGTAGAGAAGAAGAAGTGATTAGCGTACAACTAGATCCGATTGCACCGGCGTCGGTCAGCCCCGATCGCGATTAACTCGATTGCTTCTCTGTTTATATTACAGCTGACGCTGCAATTTAGAGCTGTAATCGGGAGCTTCGGAGCAGTAATTTGCAATAAGGCTACCTAAGCCAAGGGATAATCGCTGATCAAAGAGTCAAGTAAGCCGACGTTGCCGGTGCAACTGAGTCTTCAGGAGAGTCCGTACGTGTCTAAGGAAAATCTGCGGAGATAGCTGGATAGATTTCTTCTTTTGCCTCTGTATGTACGTGAGAAAATATATATTTGAGACGCTGGAGAAATTTGTATGAACTCTTACGAACACGTTACACATTTTCCTTAATCACCTGCAGACTGATATGAGTACACGTACACACCGTGTCTCGTAGAGTTCGCATCGGAATCTTCTCTTGAAAATCTTAGCATTTTGTATTTCCTGACGACTAAATCCTGGATTAAACGATTTCCGAAAATAGAACGTCAATTCAATGGAAGGCATATCAATCCAACAACAAAATTCTGAATTTGTCCGAAGTCTTCCGATGCGAATCTCACGACACACCCTGCTGCAACAATCGGAATTCATACGGACATCGACGGAGAAAAAAAGTGTTTCGTCTTATTACTCGTAAAAAGGAAACGTATATCGTCTCGGTGCGCTTGAAATTCCATAGAGACGCTCGGCAGCATAAAACGATAAACAGCTACATAAAGTCAGAAGGCATGCGGAGGTGAAGATATTGCTTCGTGGATCTCTTCGATTCTCCTTAACCCTCGCAATCTCAAGAAGGGTTCCCGCTAAAATCTACTTTTTGTCTTGCGAGGGTTAACGATAAACTCGGCATGAGATGTACTTGCGAAAGGTGAATTAATAGCGATGCGATCCCAATGAAAACGATCGATTCTCAACGACTCCTTCTGTCACGATTGCGAAGCTTTTTTTTTTCTTCTTTCGCTCGAGATCTCACGTCAATCACGTCGGCTCGTTCTCCGATGTAATGATGGAGCCGGGTCGTCAAGTATGTTTAATATTATTGCAAAAGCTAATAAAAAAAGATAGGAGAGTACCGTGAGTTCTACAGAAAGTAGCGTCTGGGTGAGTTGCTACTTCTTTCCTACGAAGGGCTAAGGTAGAGAAATAGATACGGAAGAATATTTACAAAAGCCACAACTGTTCCTCGAGGGCTGCGCGCTATCGGGGTGTTACTGCGGAGTGGTACTATCGTTACAAAGAGAGAGAGAGAGAGAGAGAGAGAGAAAGAGAAAGAGAGAATGCAGAGAAGAGAGCTGTGGCAACATGCTATCGGTGCTTTCCGAGTTCACTCGGGAGGACTTCCGGTGTTGGGATACGCGCTCGTAGGTAAGAAAATACAGAAGGAGATTGCCTCGAAGCGACTACGATATCTCCGTAGGTGGCAAAACATGTCTCGATTATTCTTCTTCGTTCTTTTTCTCCTTCCTTCGGACATCACTTGAAAGTGTTCGCCGCGTATTATTATTATCTTATACGTGCGAATTTGATTACATCTCGCGTATTTTGCTATTGTGCTTTTCATCTATTTCACGTATTAGACATTTCGATACCGATCTCGTCATCTGGCTGTAAATGAGCGGTTCGCCAATAATAATAGCGAGCCGCGTCGCTCGCAGACGCGGCGCCTGTAAATATCGCGGGCGTGTGCTGCTCGGAGGGAGCGGGAGAAAATGGAGAAGTGACGGAAGGTAATGGGAGTGTTGAACGATTATTGATCACGCTTATCTGCACTGCTCCTTGTTGCGCGCGTGCCGTGCGAAATATTGCAGCATCCGTCTCTCTTCGAGCGGAATCGTTGATAATTCGATCAACTTTCGCGATGCGACGTGACGGTGGACGGATTTTGTGTGCGTGTGTGTGCGTGTGTGTGAAGTAAAATCGAATGCAATGCACACAGTGGTTACACGTGTCGGTACAACGAATCAAGACGTTCAAACGAAACGATGCCACCGATATTGATTAGCGCGCGCCGCGCGTACACGCTTTATATAGTCCTTTAATTTCACGTCTCTCTCTCTTCCACTGTGTGTGCCGCCTCCGGCGACGGCGGGACTCTAAAATACTCCATCGCGGTTCAAGAAACCACGGTATAAAATAACCCGGCACGTTGCGCTTTATTGGACGCAATGAACGGCGAACGAGAGAGTGCAACGTGCATCCGCGAATGCGCGAGTAGTGCATCGCGTGTGTAAGCTGCGTGTAGCGTGGTGCAACGCCGCGGAAGCTTCATATTCCGCATACAATATATATATATATATATGCACATGGCATTATACACGGATATAGAAATGTACACGGTGTACCAAAAGCAGACGATAACTTAAGAGAGTCTTTGCCTAATCTGAAGGAATCTTTGTCGTTAACAAAAGAAGGGGGAAAATTGTCAAGCACACATACACATGAGACAAGTACGTTTGAATCCTGAAAAGATTACAAATGTAGGAAGTTTCAGAAAATGATTGGAGAGATTACAAATAAATAAAATAAACGTTTTTATTTCTCTGATTTTTCGCCAATTTTATACACAATTTTAATTTTACACAATTTTGACAATGACGTGAATGGAACTGTCTTAATTATCGGGATGTTACTATAAGAAAATGGACGATCTTCATTTCCGTTAACGCGGACTCGATTTGTGAAAATCCGCTCCTTAAGTATCGCCGGAATGACTTTGGAACATCCTGTACGTGTGTATACGCACAAATAACGGGGGCGAGAGCGCGACAGAGAGCGTGTCAGAGCGAGTAATCGAGACGACGTAGCGCGAGCGAGACAAAGGAATGTACATTGCCGGAGACCATGACGTAACGCATTATTCCGACCAGAAAAATGGCCCGCGACTTGGCTAATTCCTCGACTACATGAAAACCCTCTAACCGGTGCTTGAACCGTTTCCATTCTGTAACAGATGTGCTGGGAACGGCTGTGCGAGTCGCGCGCGTATTCCTCCGCGCCGCGATGCTCCCCTCACGCGCGTCATGCCGAGACCTTTCGAGGCGCGATCGATTCTGTCAAGGAACGGATCTAATCTTTAACGTCGCGTGGGATATCGCTGTTATTTCTCCCGAATCGATTAAAAGCATCGGACCGAGTTATTATTCATTCGACGCTAATCGCGTGTAAATCTCGGAATCGATCCGTTACGAGGATCAACCGAGAGCGGAAGCTCAGCGGCGGAAGCTCGCAGGAAGATTCATGGACTCGCCCGGAGCTGCCCCTTTAACACTTAAGTAGTCGCACGGTCAGGTCAGGTCAAACTGATCTCAAACTTAGGAACTGTTGCTTTATACCGCACACGGACTCGCCTGTTTCATCGTCCTTGTTCTCTCGTTAATCTTAACTCGCTTCCGAGAACCTTCGCGCGATGTAACGCGAATGTTAAGTTCGTACGAAAGCTCGCGCGCGTGACTGAGCACCTTCCAATCGCCGAGAGCCGAGTAAAAGGACAAGTCGTATCCTCCGGCAATGTATCGCTTTCGATTCGTCGTACAGATCGACATACAGAACGGTAACAGGGAACAGCTACAATCATTCCGAAATAAAAAGACAGCGAGAATATATGTACAAGTGTCGCGCGACAACAGACAGGCGTAGTGAGAGAAAAATGGAAAGAGAAAAAAAAATAGCAATAATAGAAAGAGATACAGAGAGAAAGAGAGAGATAGAGTGTGTGAAGAAAGGAGAGTAGCAGCAAAAGCCCGTGCCACCTGCAGAGTTTTCGTAACTTCCAGGTCTGTTTGGATTGTACCTTCTTTGTTGCGAGGATGCAGCTGGGGTTTCAGATTGCGATTGCAATAATCCTGATTGCAGCACTCGATGACGAAGGTCATGTTTCGCGAGTCGCTCGTCATGCAGAGGATGAACGGCTCGGGCTGCGACGACGACAGTTGTTTATGCACGCACCTTCAAGCCGATTTTGCACCAGTTTCAGAAAACGAGATCGCGAACGTGGTGGTTCGGAAGCGACGCGCGTCGCGTCGCGCACTCGATAGATCGCGAGACATCGAAAGGGGCAGAGGGGAGGATGGGGAGAAACGTTTCGTGCGGTTTCGAGGCAAAAACCGATGCGAACGGGAATCCGATCCTACGGTAGCACGACAAAAAGGAATTAGCGCATTTGTACGGCTGCGTTCTCTCCGAGCCTCCGGTGGCCGATATCCCGATTATCTTCTACGCCATTTGATATGATTAGAGGCGTGTTAAACGGCACTATTAACGGGCCAAGCGTTCTCGCATGCTGGCCAACCGATCCTCATGCGTGAGTGTACACAATAAAAAATTTTGTTCTTAAATAAAAAAATTCCACTAACCATTTTCCTGTTACCTTAACTAGGTGAATATGTTAAACAGTATTTTAACAAAGTGAATATGTTAATTTAAACTATGTTAATTTAACATATATTTGTGTAGAGTCGGTCACATGACGATTGCAATTTTTTTACACGTTTCGAAATATAAAAAAATACGACGAAGCGAACCTATAATCTGCGAATATGCGCAGTAGATAGTCAGACAATAGATATATGTCAAAATGACACATACACATTTAATTTTGACATATAC